CACCACTGTCACATGAGAGGAGCAGGTGTGAGTGACACAGTCCTCATACCCAGTACCAGGTATTTTCTTTGCTCATGGCAATTAAATAAAGCAATGGAAAAGCAAAGTAAGGATGAGTATGTACTGCTGGGGAGGGGCCATTAATCAATTCAATACTGAACACTTTCACCCCCTTCCTGACCAGGTCAATTTTCAGATTTCAGCGCTGTCACACTTTGAATGACAATTACTCAGGCATGCAACACTGTACTCAAGTGACATTTTTTGTATTTTTTTGAGACAGATAGAGATTACTTTTGGTGGTATTTAATCACCGCCCATTTTTTAATTTTTTGCTAAATAAACAAAAAACTAAGAATTTAAAAAAATAGGAAAACATTTGTCTTATTTTCTGTTATAAAATTTTGTAAATAAGTAATTTGTTTTTTTCTTCAATGATGTGCACTGATGAGGCTGCACAGATGGTCACTGATGAGGCTGCACTGATGGGCACTGATAAGGTTGAATTGATGGGCACAGATGAGTCTGCACTGATGAGGTGGCACTGATGGGTACCAATGAGGTGAACTGACAATCTTCATTGATGAGGCAGCACCGGTAGGCACTGATGTGGTGGCACTGATAAGCAGCACTGATGGGCACTGATAATCACGGCACTGAAGAGGCTGCATTGATGATTAGGGCACTGTGTAGCACTGTAAATATTGTAAAAGCACTGTGAACTATCAAAACACACTGCTCCAGCATGGCTTTCCTTCCCTCACACAAGGTCTCTGCGCGAGGGAAGGAGAGCTGTTAACAAGCAAAGACCTGCTGTGTTTCCATCTGTGACCGCTTGTGATTGGACACAGTGATCATGTGGTAAAGGGCTCCTGTGATTTGCCCTTTATCCAGAACTGTGATGTGTTGTGTCCAAGGTACACAGTGACCACAGAAAGTTTCTGATAAATTCCCCAGAAGTAGAGAATGGCCATGAGGCTGTATACTGAGTATACCATGGATGAGAAGGGGATAAAGTGGAACTAAACCCTATCCTTTACAGCCCTGGAAGCTGCCATCTTAGGCTCTGTTTGATCTGCAGTTGCACATGTGATCAGTTACAACACCAGCCATCTGATGGCTTGACAATTCTGTTAAAAACACAGCAACTATGACTATTATCATTTATGGCTTTCTTTGAATCTGTATTGAGCAGCTGTTACATTGATAGGTCTAATTCTACTTTAAAGTGAACCTGTTGCTTTCCAATGCTTTGGCAAAGATGATTCCCCATAGAAACACTATTATGTAAACCTGGTGTTGGTACTGAGCAGGGGCGGACTGACCATTTGAGCACTGGGCTACTGCCCGAGGGCCCGGGGTCAGTAGGGGGCCCCATGACATGCTCCTGGTACCTTTTTATAGGCTTTTTTGGGTGTGGGCGAAGACACGGGGGCCCCATGATCCCCTATTGCCCGGTGGCCCCATGATTTGTCAGTCCGCCCCTGGTACTGAGTCATGAAGTGTAGGAATTGCCCCATATTACTACTAATAATGGGGATGCCCAATGAAATACAGGATTTCTGCTTACTTAAAAAATACTTTTTTTTCACAAATATAGTTAGGCATGTCTTTAGGTGGATATGGCAGTGCAGATAAGTATATAATAGTCTACATTTCCCTCTTAGCATACATAATTGCAAATATGCAGTGGGGGCGGAGGAGAAACTTTAAACATAATGGAACAAGAGAGGTATTAAATGATGTTTGCATAGTTGATGATTTTGCTATCAAAATAAATATAATCAGAAAGATGAAGCTAATCAAAATGTAAGAAATGTTAAAATTGTCAGAGTATTCTGAAGGGGCAATCCATACAACAGTGCTGTTAGGGAAGCAAGTAACTCCGTGCATACAAATGCAAATAAATTATCTGCTGCTCAGACAGGCACTCTAGGGCTAATTACTATCTGTATTTCAATGGTGTAACCACAGTGTTTTAAAACCATTATATTATAAACTTTGTATAAACTATAAGAGCCAAATGCTGAATGATGTTCATTTTCAGGTACAATTTTGTTTCACACGGCAGAATATAGTTTTGAAGCAAGCTCATAAAATTCTACTCTATACTGCAATTCTCATTTGATGCTGTATTCATCTTCAAGAACATTTTAGTGTGGTCCATTACAACACAAGTCAAAACTAATTGACTGCTTCTGTGTTTTATAGACTAAATGAAACATAATTTACATAATTTCCTTAGTATGGTAAAGAACACAACTATTATATATATATATATATATATATATATATATATATCAGCCTCTGACTTAATACTTATGCATGGGTTTGATTTTGAGCAAAATATTTAGCTCCTTTTAGTATCCCCCTCCAGTTTCCTTTTTTTTCAGCTGCTACCCTCAGCCTGTAATTCATTTACAACAAATCATCACCAGCGTTTCTGTGAAATATATTCCAATAACATTGATTGGTAATTTTTGGTGGCAATATATGAGTCAGTATTGACCTTTATAATACTGTTATTCATTTCTGTCCATTTACAAAGTACAACTGCTGTGTCATTTCTGCCAAAACTAATCTCCTAATCTTCTCTATGGCACCCTCTGTTTTGTTATAACACCATTGCTTTTAAAATTCAATGTAAATAGTCATGTGTAAAGCATTGTAAAGCCCCCTACACAGGATGAGAAGAATAGTGGATGAATGGTCGTCGTTTTTTTTTTTTTTTTTGCATGCTAGTCTCATATTGAAAGTGAAGAAGTTACTAAAGTTACAAAAATTCTTCTACGACAGAAAGAAAATTCAGATGATGCAATATATTGTATTGTATTTGTATTGTATTTTCGGAGAAAAACTGTACTAATTAAACAAAAAAAATTTGTACGAACTGGTATCATATGAGAAAAATGTTGTGCTTGTCCCTTCAAATAATTTTGGATGAAAGCTGTGTACTAACGATCAGATTATCGTACGGTCGATTCGAAAATGATATTTTTCATCTGATTTTCTGATTGTGTGTGCTAGGCTTTATCTTCAGTTTTTTGTGACCATGGCTCTATATTTTTTAAAAGCTGAAATCTGGAAGCTAATGGTAACTGCCAATCCTTTGCTTTGATGCTCTATGTTATTATAGGTTGGATTTATAGAGTGTGAAGTGTAATGATAATGCGCAAAGTGCTATATTCCAAAGCCACCCATCATCTTCACCTTACCTGCTGTCGGTGTAGAACAGTAATCTTGACCTCACCTGTTTTAAATGTAGAATATTCTCCGCAAGGAAAAAAATGATAACTGATTGTTGACTTTACCCATTGCTCTTTGATATGACTAATTGTTCTTCTTTACTACTGGTTTATTTTCAAGGCTAGTTGGCATTTGCTTATATCTACTGTATGAATCTACAGATATTTAGTGTGTGTTTGTGTATATAGATATATTATAATGTAACAGTTTGTTTATGGTACAAATACTTAAATATTTGCTCTCTTTATACAGATGTATATGTTTTTGTCTAGTGCACCCTTTCTCAACCTTCATAAAAAGGAGGAACCCTTAAAATAATGTTCAAGTTTCAAGGAACCCCTGCTAAAAAAAAATTATTTTCAAAATATTTTCAGTAAATATAATACAATTATGAATGCCATAAATAATGACAATAATGATGATACTAATAACAGCCAAAAAAGAAGACATGCAGGCAAGAAAAATTGTAGTGCTCCCTCACATTGGTGGCCAGCAAAACCTCCCTTTTATTAGTGGTCCCTTTACACTAGTCATCATTGGGAGAATGGACCCTTTGCACTAGTGCTGGGTGAGAAGAATTCCTCTTACAGATATATCAAAAAAGATAACTGAAGTCAGTGGTTGCTTACTTAGAGGCAGAAATTGTTCATTGTTTAACGTATCCCCAGCAACCCCTGCAGCCATGACTGATAAAGGCTGGTCTAGAAAGAGAAAGTGTATATTACACATCCCTGAAGTGCCCCCTTTCATTAATGGTCAGTAGAGAAGGGCCCCTTTATATAGGTGGTCATTGGGAGAATTCCCACTGGTGCTCATTGGGATGAATTCCATTTACAGATGGCCAAAAGGATCTTTGAAGACAGTTGGTTACTTATCTGAGAGGCAGACACTGTCCTTGTTCAAGGGATCCCTAGCAACCCCTGGAGGAACCTTAGGGTTCTAAGAAACCATGGTTGAAAAATACTGGTCTAAAGACAGAAAATGTATAGGGCGTATCCCTGAAGTGACCCCTTTCACTAATGGTCAGCGAAGAAAGGCCCCTTTAGTTTAGTGAGATGAATTCCCTAAACAGATAGCTAAAAAGATCTTTGGACAAAGTGGTCACCTATCTGAGAGGCATAAATGTTTTTTTTGCTCAAAGAACCCCTAGCAACCTCTGGAGGAACCCTGAATGAGAAAGCATGCTCTCTAGAGAGAGAAGGTGAATAATACATATCCCTGTGGTGCCCCCTTTCATTTGTGGTCAGTGGAGAAGGGGTCCCCTTATATAGGTAGTCATTGGGAGAAGGCCCCCTTTACACTAGTGCTTGGTGGGAAAACGTTCTTTTTACAGATAGCTAAAAATATTATTCAAGATAGCAGTTATTTATCAGAGAGGCAAAGACTGCTCATTGTTCAAGGAACCCCTAACAATTCTTGGAGGAACTCTAAGGCTCCATGGGCCCTGGTAAAGAAAGGCTGGAGAGGAAAAATGTATAATACATAACCCTAAAATGTGAATCTCTTTTGATATTTATTTGTCCCAAGAGACAGTGTATAGTACAAATACCTTAAATGTCTCTCTTTATATTTGTAGGAGATCAACAGTTAATATGTATTCTGTGTTTTGGAAATGTGTGTTGTGCTTGCAAGTGTTACCTTTTGAAGGTATAAAAATTGGTGCCATCAACAGTAAAAAGCACAGTATAGGAGTATGTATTAGATACAAATTCAGCCACAAGTCATCTGTGAACAGATAAGCATGAGTGAATTACCTGGGGTGTATGTCTACAAGCAGCACCAGTGTTTGCATGGTGATAATGTCTATCCTCCTGCAGTGAAACCGCGCCACTTTCAGCACTTTTAAGTAGGTGAAGCACAAAATGACCAGCGACAGCACGAAACTGGCGGCGTGAAAAACGATGGTGAACACCATAAAACGTTTTTTCTCCGGAGCTTCGTGCACCTGTAAGGTACAAGAGGCGTACATGCTGCTATAGTCCAACCAAGAGAGGAACAAGGAAACCAAGGGGAAGGTGAGAGAGTGCAGCCAGGTGTAGCCCATCATGATCGCTGCGTCCTTATACCTCATCTTGCTGGTGTAACTCAATGGGAAAACCACAGCGATCCATTTGTCTATGCTGAGAGCTGCCATGCTGAGCATGGTGTTAGAAGTCAGAAAAGTTTCCAAGAAGCCCAGAGCCTTGCACAGGCAGTCACCAAAGGGCTGCTGGTGGCTTAGCATGGCCAGGAAAGTGGAGGGCATGTTGAGGATAGTCAGGAGCAGATTGCACAGGGACAGGTTGACCAGGAAGATGCCAGACACTTGTTTCCTGATCTCGGCACTGTACAAAAAGCAGATCAGCACCAGCAGATTGGCGAGTAGGGACACCACAAACACGACAATGAGTAACAGGGCCAGCAGAATCTCTGGCAAGTGCATTTCTCAGCTTATATCCATCAGCAGGGATTGCCTCATTGAATGCAGACCAGGGTGGCTTGCCTACATGCCTGCTAGCCCCATGGCTTGGTGCTGGAGGAGGCGCGCCCGGCGCTGTTCTCTATGGAGCTGCTGTCCATGGTGCTGAAATCAGGAGCGCTGCGGACGGGGAAGCCATCGGAGCGCCGGCGGATGACTGCTGTCCAGGGGAGAGCTCGGCATCCCCCAATCACCGACTGCTCAGCGCTCCTCCACCATGACCGGGAGCTCCGCGCTCCTCCAATGACCGAGCAGGCAGCGCTCCTCCACAGGTCTAGCCGAGGAGCCAGCGCAGCAATTGTGGCACACCTTCTCGTCTCTGCCGGGAACACTGACTCATGCGCAGGGCAGGACCGCTGACAAAGGAGATCTCAGCACACACTACTATCAGCTGCACTACTTTGCTGCTTCATTACACGTAATCGGGTGGATGTGGGAAACACAATGCCACATTATGACAAGGGAGGCTCACCAGTGACCACAGCAGCCAACACATTCCCTGATGGTTAAAGGAGACCTCCAGACCATCAAAAAAACACTATGTAGTCCATCTGTAGATGACTTTTTATTTTTTATGTTTTATAACTCTGTAATTGCATTAAGAAGAATGTAGAATGATAGCAGCCCAGGGTGTGTATAGACCACATCTATTTTTATTATTCTACATTTCTTTTTTATGCAATTGTCACAGATACAGCAAATTATACCCCCCCCCCCCCCCTCTCTCTCTCTCTCTCTCTCTCTCTCTCTCTCTCTCTCTCTCTCTCTCTCTCTCTCTCTCTCTCTCTCTCTCTCTCTCTCTCTCTCTCTCTCTCTCTCATTGTCCACATGTTTTGTCATGTTACAACCAAAAACGTAAATGTATTTTGTTGGGATATTATGTAATAGTCCAACACAAACATAACACATTAAGGGCTATCCACTATGTAATCCATCTGTAAATTGTTACTTTCTTATACTTTTTGACCTTTTTAATGGTATCAAGAATGAAGAGTTCAGATCTATTTCAGATCTATACCAGCCCAAGGGGCTGTTATTCAGCACTTTTGTTTGCATGTAATTTTCACAGGGTTTTAGCACACACATATATATATATATATATATATATATATATATATATACACAAACAGGTCAGGGCAGCACACACCCATCATCATGGAACTCAATCCTTTAGGTGCAGAGCGGACAATGGAGATCACACAAAACTCCAACCTATGGAAAAACAGAACAAGTCCAATCTGCAGCACTTTGCACATTTAATAAAAGGTAAAAACTCATAAATAATTATGAGTTTTTACCTCTCTTAATAAGTTTAAAAGGTGTTGCAGATTGGACCTATTCTGTTTCTATTTTTATATATATATATATATATATATATATATATATATATAATTTTTTTTTTTTTCCTCAAGGGTGGGTTACATTTGAAAAATGAATCGGGCAAGCAGACATCCACATCTAGCAGGCTCCATACTCACTGAAAAACCTATAGCACATTGAAAGATGTGACATCCAGGACTACATATATATATATATATATATATATATATATATATATATATATATATATATACTATATTGCCAAAAGTATTGGGACACCTGCCTTTATACACACATGAACTTTAATGGCATCCCAGTCCTTGGTCAGGTGACACCAAAATTGAACTTTTTGGACTAATAGCAAAACGCTATGTGTGGCGGAAAACTAACACTGCACATCAACCTGAGCACACCATCCCCACTGTGAAACATGGTGGTGGCAGCATACTGGTGTGGGGATGCTTTTTATTCAGTAGGGAAAGGGAAGCTGGTCAGAGCTGATGGGAAGATGGATGGAGACAAATACAAGGCAATCTTAGAAGAAAACCTCTTAGTGTCTGCAAAAGACTTGAGACCAGGGTGGAGGTTCACCTTCCAGCAGAACAACGTCCCTAAACATACAGCCAGAGCTACAATGGAATGGTTTAGATCAAAGCATATTAATGTGTTAGAATGGCCCAGTCAAAGTCCAGACCTAAATCCAATTGAGAATCTGTGGCAAGACTTGAAAATTGCTGTTCACGGACGCTCTCCATCCAATCTGACAGAGCTTGAGCGACTCAGCAAAGAAGAATGGGCAAAAATGTCCCTCTCTAGATGTGCAAAGCTGGTTTAGACATCCCCAAAAAGACTTGCAGCTGTAATTGCAGTGAAAAGTGGTTCTACAAAGTATTGACTCCGGGGGGCTGAATACAAATGCACGCCACACTTTTCAGATAATTATTTGTAAAACATTTTGAAACCCATTTATCATTTTCCTTCCACTTCACAATTATGTGCCACTTTGTGTTGGTCTATCACATAAAATCCCAATACAATACATTTACGTCTTTGGTTGTAACATGACAAAATGCGGAAAATTTCAAGGGGCATGAATACTTTTTCAAGGCACTGTACAGCTTGAGGAAGCACATGGCAGCTTCCAGTTTTGTTTGTGTCAAAGCTTAATCAAACAAGCTGAAGTTAGAAGGTGATTGGCTGCCATGCACAGCTGAACCAGATTTTGCACTCTCCAGTTTTAGTAAATCAACCCTTCTGTGTTTTCTCGTATGGTGGAGGTGCATTGCTAGATTTTGGTCTGTAGTGGAGCTGTGCCTGTTTGCTCCATATTGGCACTCTATGCCTACACTCTTAAGAGAATGCTATTTAGCACATAAAATTTGTCAATCTGCGAGGAAGAGTTGTAATTGGCCAGAGAGGGATGACGTTCATACAGCTAGTCAGCTCGAACATGTATTGCAATATATGCAACTTTGTAACAAGGGTTTGCTATGAATATTTAAGGAATAACAAGCAGTTACAGTTTGTTAGTATCCCATGTTTTATATATACAGAAGCCATCTAGGAACTGAGCACAGACATAGTGGGGTACATTTACTGAAACGGGAGCTCTCAGAATCTGGTGCAGCTGTTCTTGGTAGCCAATCAGCTTACAACTTGGCAATAAAAACCCGGAAGCTGATTGGTTTGCATGCAGAGTTGCACAAGATTTTGCACTCACCAGTTTTAGTACATAACCCCCTCTGTGCCTCTATTTCCACAGCATAGTGCCGGTCAGTGATTAAAAAGGCAGGCATGCCTGAAGTGATTCAAAGCTGCTGTATTATTTCTTAATAGGAGCAAATGCTCTCTATACTTTGTGTTCTATATATTTAGAGCAATAGTTGATCCCCATACATGTTAGATTACTAAAGTCTTGTTGCACACTGTAAGGGGTAAATGAAGGTCCAGGCACTTACAGAGCATAAATAATCCAAGGCTTTATTCACCAACAATTTGGTGGGACAAAGATGCACATTTCAGCAGCCAGTACTATGAAAAGCAGTAGTTTGCTGCTTCTTTACAAATAATTGTGTGGAAATAAGAAACACTGCACCATATTATGACAAGGAAGGCTCATCAAATAAGAAAAACATCTGTTTGGCAGCACATCCAATGAATTCACCTTTATTCTACCATTCTTCTTACAAATACAACTCTACAGTAGCAACTCTTGCATATCAAAAGTGGGATTCTTAGTTCGCATATATTACAGTACATGTTCTAGCTGTCCAGTGATCCCTCCCTGGCCAGTTCCTACTCTATTTGCCAATTGACAATCTCTTATTTGTTAACATAGTGTATTCCCAACAGCGTGGACATGTAGAGGTTGATTTACTAACACTAGAGAGTGCAAAATGTGGTGCAATTCAATATGGGGCAAACAGACACAGCTGGAGAGGAAATGAGCTGTAGACCAAAATCCAGCAATGCATGTCCACAATGGGAAAATACACAAAAGGCTAGGAGGATAGGCAGCATCAACAATCATCAATGCACACAGCTAAGTGTGTTCCCAAACAAAACACCCAAATAAATAAAATACATTATTTTTATTGTAAGTGAGAGTTTGCTATGAATGAGTTAATTAGTGGCTACACCTCTATAGTATCTCATTGGGGTTGATTTACTAAAACTGGAGAATGTAAAATCTGCTGCAGCTCCTCATAGAAACCAATCAGCTTCCATCTTTGAGTTCCCGGTCACACCGGTGCATCTTGTCATGCGATTTGATAGATTCAAATTGCATGAGAAGCCGTACCCTATTGTCTGCAATTGAAGCAGTGATATCTGTGCAATTCCGACTTTGTTGGAGTTGCACTGATTTTGAAAGTACTTTATGCACCACTTTTTTGCAAGTTCAAGTGCAACTTGCAGAGACATCTGTCGCACATATGTCTTTCAAGTCGTAACCAAAATCACACTGACATCCGACTTTGAAATCCCTCGATTTCAACTGAAGTCACATGATTTCAAAGTCAGATTTGGTGTGTCTGAAGACTTATTGTCAAAGCTTAATTGAACAAGCTGAAGTTAGAAGCTGATTGGCTACAATGCAAGGCTGCACCAGAGTTTGCACTCTCCAGTTTTAGTAAATCAATCCCCATGCATTGTATGTATAGGGGATATTTAGGACCTGAACACACATCTCCATTTCCACTACATAGTGAAGGTTAGTAATCAGTAAGGGCAGGGATGCTTGCAGTGATTATATTCTTTGATATAAGATATGCTCACTGTGCTTAAAACCCCTTTCATTCATTCATTTGGATGTTTTGTTTGGGTTACATGAATAGATGGTTGCTGGTGATGTCCACCCTCCTAGACTTTGTGTGCATACAGTATATATCTATATATATATATATATATATATATATAGATATATACAGCATATATATGGTCATCTCACAAAACACAGGGTGGAGTAGCCTGGGTGCACTGCTGAACTACATATGTATAAATCAAAGGGGGAGAGACACTTGTAAGTCTTGAATTGTAGAACCGTACACCTTTATATTTTATTGAAATAAAAAGCTGCACCTCATCAAAATGTACGATGTTGCATTTCAAGACACGTGAGTGCCTTTCTCCCTGTGACTTTTTTA